TGAAGTTTAGCAGGGTGGGGTCACCTTTTCTGAGGCACACAATCACAATGGCTAAGACATATAATCACAATGGCTATTTTTCTAAACCATATCTGAAACATTGGGGAGAATTTTTCCACCTGATTCCCATTGATTATTGCCAGGGAGTTTGTGTCTATTTTCTATGAAGTATTTATTCTGTTATATTTCCTGGAGGCTGTTGGTAGGAGAGTTAACTTTGTTTTGTGCCAGGTGTACATTCTGTGATATCTCCTGGTACCCGAATTCAGTTCCCAGTCAAGATCTTTATTTCAAAATGGAGTTATATTCAGGCTAACTTAAACTCTTTACTTTCACAACAACAGAAACAACAGAAAGACTACAAACTCATAGAAACGGAACGACTCTCTGTTCAACAATCAGGGCAGAAAGAAAGTGCCTTAATGAAGAAATATAGAGATCTCACATTAGTGACTTAATAGCACAATGGAAAGCTCTAGAGAAAAAGAAGCAAGAGCCCAAAGGAGTAGATGGCAGGAGATATTCAAACTCAGGGCTGAAATCAGTAACATAGAAACAAAGAAAACAGTACAAAGAATCAACAAAAACAAGAGCTCAAAGGCAGAGAAACAGTACCCAAATTAACAAAATCAGAAATGAAAATGGGGACATAACGACACACACTGAGGAAATCCAAAGAATCATTAGGTCTCATTACACATACCTGTACTCCACAAAACTGGAAAATCTAAAAAAATGGAAAAAATTCTAGATATATTCCACTTACCAAAGTTAAATAAAAATCAGGTAAACTATTTAAATATTCCTATAATCCCTAAGGAAATAGAAGCAGTCATTAAATGTCTCCGAACCAAAAAAGCCCAGGGCCAGATGGCTTTAGTGCAGAATTCTACCAGACTTTCAAAGAAGAGCTAAGACAAGTATTCATCAAACTATTCCACAAAAGAGAAACAGAAAGAACATTGTCAGACTTATTCTATTAGGCCACAGTCACACTGATACCTAAACCACACAAAGACTCAACAAAGAAAGAATTTCAGAGCAATCTCCCTTATGAACATGGGTGCAAAAATACTCACTAAAATACTTGCAAGCCAAATCCAAGAACACATTAAAGATACTATCCATCATGGCAAAGTTGGTTTCATCCCAGGAATGCAGGGATGGTTCAGTATATGAAAATCCATCAATGTAATCCACTATGTAAACAAACTGAAAGCAAAAACAAAACAAAAACAAAAAACACATTGTCATCTTACTAGATGCTGAAGCCTTTGACAAAATCTAACATCCCTTCATGTTAAAAGCGCTGGAGAGATCTGGGATACAGGGCGTGTACCTAAATACAATAAAGGCAATATACATCAAGCCAATAGCCAACATCAAATTAAATGGAGAGAAGGGTAAAGCAATTCCAGGGGCAAGACAAGGCTGCCACTTTCTCCATATCTATTCAACATAGTACTTGAAGTTCTTGCTAGAGAAATAAGATAACCAAAGGATATCAAGGGGATACAAATTGGAAAGGAAGAAGTCAAAGTATAACTACTCACAGATGCTACAGTGGTATACATAAGTGACCCCCAGAATTCTACCTGGGACTTCCCACAGCTGATAAACACCTTCAGCAACATGGTTGGGTACAAAATTAACTTAAACAAATCAGTAGTCCTTCTTTATACAAATGATAAATGGGCTGAAAAAGAAATTAGGGAAGCAACACCCTTCACAATTGCCACAAATGATATAAAATATCGTGGTGTAACTCTAACCAAGTAAGTCAAAGACCTGTATGACAAAAACTCCAAGCCTCTAAAGAAAGAAATTGAAGAACCATAAGATTGTGAACTGTTAAAAACATGACTTTTGTTTGCTGTGGCTCGGCCCTAACACACACCTTTAATCTAAAAACTGTTTATTGTAAACATGTCATAATGGGTTCAAATATCCTGAAACAGTGGGAGACAGGCCAGTGGTTAAAGAGAGCAATAATGTTTCTTTAACTATGGTTAGATCTGAGTCTCTTGGTTATGTAGCTTGCAGATCTAATTACAGGTTTTTGGTATGCAGCTCATGAAAACAGAGTTCTAAAAGGAAATGAAACAACCCTGCTGTGAGTGAAACCAGAAAGTAGATGGTTAACTACACCACCAGATAAACAAGATTTTGTAGAAAAGGAAAAACAAGATCAAAAGTCTTCTACACTGAAACCTGCAAGCTGCTTCCAGCCAGAACGAAACAACTGGCTAAAATATACCTTTCTTGCAAAAACGCTGTTAATGATAAAAGAATTATCGTTTTGTGGTGAAGACGTGATTATCGGGTGTGAGATAGGGGAAAGAATGTTTAACAGCATGTGGGCTCCTGAGGAAATTTGTTTTTTGAGATATGTGACTTGTGATTCTGAGGTGATTTCTTTCTGCATAAAGACATTTGTTATTCTGAGTATAAGGGATAAAAGAAAAAAATAAATTAAGAGAATTAGAGCTTGCTTCATCCATAAGATGTCTATATGTCTTCATACTACTGACTCCACATTTCCTGCTTGGACCTGCTTGTCTTCCTGCTTCCATGGAAAGGTGTCCTGGGAACTCTGGAGCCCAGGTACCACACAGCTCTGAGAGGAGGCCTTCTCAGCAAAGGCATTTCGGCTCACAGGGGAGAGTATCCCCATCTGAGCTAAGGCGCTCAGGAGCCCCAGCCCTGCTCCTCCTTCAGTGTTGCAGTTCCCAGGGGGAGGGAATTCTCCACTGAAGTGAGGAGCTCAGGAGCCTCAGCCCTGCTCCGCTTACTCTTCTCTTCGTTGCTTCTTGGCTTCTTCCAATGAGAGAGTCACACCAGGCAGCAAATCTCATAAAGAGATTTATGGGAGAATCCAGGGAGTGGAGAGACAAATCCAGGAGTGGCGCCTGGATTCCTGGGAGAAGGCACAGAAAACGAGGCAAACACAGCCTTTATATAGGATTTCTTGGGGGTGGAGCTTTCTAGGGCAGCGACTTTTTTTTTTCAGGGTGAGGATTGGTGGGATTTCAAGTTCTGAGTTTGGGAGAGTTCAGGGATTGGTGGAAGCTTTTCCTACTCATGGATGGCCTTTTGTTCAGACTTTTCACCTAAAATTAGCATAATCTGGGAAGGGTCCTATTGAAGGGCTAGAGATAGCCTTTGTGACTGTTACAGAGGCTCGAAATGTCATTATCACAGTTAAAGAGTGTGGGGAAGGGGCCTACTGACTCATGCCTCAATGGGTTTCCAGAGACTTGAACTCTGCACTAAACAAAACAACTTTCCTCAAATAAATTGTGAACTTTTATTCTAAGGGGCCAGATTTCTGGTCCTGGTCCCAGGCTGACAGCACCAAACCATGTAAAGATCCCTGCTTCAGGAGAATAGCTAGTTTATACATTGTTGAGGTAGAGATGGCTCTGGAGCTCACAGACTAGCTCCAGCTGGATATGTCTCTCCGTCTCTGAGCTCCCTGTCAGCAGCAGTAACTGAGGCCTCAGGTGCTGCTTTCTTTGTGGCTCCAGTTTCTCAGATTCTCCAGGCATCTGATCTCAGGTCCCAGGGCTGTGGAGATTTAGCCTCAGCTCCTCTGGCTTCGCGAGGTGTTGCCGTCTGAAGGTGTAGAGCCAGCAGCACAGCCTAAGACCTGAACAACCCTCTCAGGGACGGCGAGGGGCTGGCACCCAGAGCTGAAGAGGAGGTGCCCCGCAAATGATGAAGGGGGGTTCCCAGGGACAAAACTTAAAGTGGCCCAGCCTGCCTGCTGGAGCTCCACAGGTGGGGGCCTGACACTTTTCTGCAAAGTATATAAAGTATGTAAACTAAACAAAAATAGTCCAGGGCAGCCCTTTCCTGCTGCTTGAGTCAGCAGGACTAGCCAGCAGGATCCCTCACCTGCTGGAACTGGACTCCAGCAACCACCAGAAGCAACCTGAGCTGGAAAGAATTTGGTTCAGTTTACAGCTTATACGGTCCATCATAAAGGAAAGAAAGACAGACACTCCAAGCAGAACCCAGAAGCAGGAACTGAAGCAGATGTCATGGAAGAGCGCTGCTTACTGGCTTGCTTCCCGACTGACGTTCATTTACAGTTAGTATTACCTCCCAAGACCACCTGCACAGAAACGGCACTCCGCACTAACCACTAATCATAAATACGACACATACAATTGCCTACAGATCAATATCGCTGGAGATTTTAAACTGAGGTTTCCTCTTCCCAGATGACTCTAGGTCATTCAAGTAGACACACACACACACACACACACACACACACACACACACACACACACACTTTAGCTGGGACGTGGTGGTGCATGCCTTCAATCTCAGCACTACGAAGGCAGAGGCAGGCTCTACTAAAACGTGTCATTAAACCTGGTCATCACAGATTTCCTTCCTCTGAGAGGAAGAGAATAAAGGGACGTGCGGATGGGAGGCAATAAAGAGATGGAAGGAGGCAAAGTGGGACTATAATGGGATGAAAGGAACACAGACGCAGACATTAGCCTCATGGCAAATTCTTCAGTTGGCACACCAGGCCCTAATTATTGATACTGTGCTTTCAATGACCCGGGGCCCTTCCTGTTTTTTGTCAGGGGTTATCCTTGTAGGGCACGGAGTCTGGGATGTCCAGGGCCAACCGGTGACGCTATCTTACGTGGAACCAACAGTAGGCGCCTACGGAGCACTGAGTACACGAGTCTGTGCACTCAATTCGCTTAAATGCAGTGACTCCTCAGGCTTGCTCCAAAGGGATCGCCTGGGTCACACCGGGTGTGTCGCTTCACTACCATTTCTACTTGCGTCCCCGACGGGAAAGGACGTTGACCCTGCTACTCAAGAAGAAGAAGGCGGGCCCAGCAGCTCTCGCCAATCAGGGACGCCCTTGCTTTCCTGCCGGAGCTGTCAAATAAGGAACGCGGATGTTGCGAGGTTTCCGCCCCTGGCTCCATTTTTGAATCCCGGGTAGCTTTTGTGAGGTGTGTGACAGCTGTCTTCCGTCCAGGTCACCTGTTTTGGCGGCAGGCCCCCCTGGAGGACCCCCGCGTGCGCGCGAGGCTGGAGATGGTGAGTGCGCGGTGGCTGCTGGAGTGTGGGCCGCGGCCTTGGCGAGCCCGGCGCCGCCGACCCGACGTCCCCCGGCGCTGGGCTGCGGGCTGAGGTGGCGTCTGCTCTGCACGAGCCCGGTCCCCTGCCCGTCTGGGGCAGTCCGCGACGCGAACCTGAGCCCCGGCAGACATCGGCGCCGGCGGCTCGGTGACGCAGGCTCCGGACTGTGCTGTGGAGCGACGTGGGTGGGGAGTGTTGCCGCCCGTCCGCCCTGCGTCACTGTTTGCTGTGATCTCCTTGGTTTTTACTGGTTTTGCCCTAGGCTGCTTCTCCCAACAGACGGGATCTGGAATGTGGGGTTTTGGTTGTTGTTGTTGGTGGTGGGTTTTGTTTGTTTGTTTGGGTTGTTTTTCAAGACAGTGTTTCTCTGTGTAGTCCTGGTTGTTCTGGAACTCACACTGTAAACCAGGCTGGCCTTGAACTCAAGGATTCACCCGCCTCTGCCTCTAATGTGTTGTTTGTTTGTTTGTTTCCTCGGAACTCATGTACACCAGGCCTACCTCAAACTCAGAGATCCTTCTGCTTCTGCTCCCTGACAACTGTGATTTAAATGCTTGCGCCACCAGGCCCTACAAGATGGGCCCTTTAGTATTTACCAAGATTACGGTCCTTGGGAAAATATGAACGTCTTCAGTTGTCTCCTTTGCCTTGGTTAGAGTTGGTCTCTCTGGACACTGTAATTTGTGAAATTTCTCTCCATCTGGGAGAAAACTACCTTTGTCTTCTACCTTCTGGAGAAAATATTTTGTGTTTGACAGTTGGTTGGAGTGTGCAAAACAGTTTTTAAAAGTTCGTCTGTAATAAGCCAGTCTTTGGCCTCCCTTGGCCTAGCATGCTACATAGGTCAAAGGCCTGCCTCCTGGGATTGGAGTTGGTTCTGTTCAGGGATCAGACTCAGGTCGTGAAGCTTGGTAGACGACTGCTTTTCCCCGCTGACCCATTTTTTTGGCCCCTTATTTCTTATTTCTGAACCTGGGTTCCATCTATCCCAGACTATCATGGAACTCCATCTGTAGCTGTAGAGATGACATTGAACTTGTGATCCTCCTGCCTTCACGTTTAAAATTTTGGGATTTCAAGGCATGAGTCACCACACTTGATTTGGTGTGGTACTGGGGATGAAGGGGGGGGGGGTCCTGCTTATCAAGCAAACACTGCCGGCGAGCCACATCCTGCTGTAGAGCTGTCAAAAGTAGGCTTTTCCTCCCTCAGACCTGCTGAGTTTCCAGAGCAGCACAGGCCTCATAGACTGCTTAGAATAATCCTCTTGTGACAGACATGGAATGCATACTAATGAGAATATTGGAACATTTTTTTCATTTCTTTTGAGACAGGATTTTACTATGTAGCCTTTGCTGGCCTGGAACTTGCTGTTTAGATGGTGCTTGCCTTGAGCTGACAGAAATCAGCCAGCCTCTGCCTCCCAAGTGCTAGGATTAAAGGGTGTGTGCCGCCACACCCAGCCTCAGGACACACGTTTTTCAATGTGTTATGGTGATTCTCTGAAACTTTTTGGTATCTATTATAATGCCTCCCTTTTCATCTCTAATTTTGTTAATGCATGTCTTTTCTCTCTTGTTTAATTGATAAACCAACACAATGTTGTAGGTTCTATTTTTAATATTTTATATGTATTTTTTTACATAGATGAGTGTTTTACCTGCTAGAAGGGATATGCAGCATGTTTGCCAGTCACACAGAGATGAGAAGAGAGCCTTAGCTGGCCTGGAAATGGAGTTAGAGATGGTTCTCATGCACCTTGTAGGTCCTAGGAACCGAACTTGGGTCCTCTGCAAAAGCCACCAGTGCTCTTCTGAACCATCTCTCCACCTCCGTGTGTTTGGTTTGGGTTTTTTCACTTTTGTTTCATTAATTTCAGCCTTGATCTTTGTTATTTCTTCCACTTAGCGATTTGGACGTTGGGTTCTTGTTTTCCCAATGCCGTCAGGTGCTTCTTCAGGTTGTTCATCCGAGATCTGTCTTAATTTATTTTGAAAAACACATATTTTGGTGTGTGTGTGTGTGTTCCTATGCGTGTGCACAGGTATGCTTGGGTTTCTGTAGAGCCCAGAAAAAGGTGATGGACACCCTTGAGCTGGGTTTACGTGCAAGTGTGAGCCACACAGCGTGGAAGCTGGGGACCACACTTGGAGCCAAAGTGGCCTAACTGCTGGGCCATCTCAGCGTTCTGTCGTATTTTTCCCTCAGAGTTTAAAATCATGTTTTATAGGAAAAGCTTGTTTTATAGGAAAAGCTTGCAGAACAACATTGCCCTAACTCCCAAGATGATGTATCTTCCCTGACTCCCAAAGAGGGATGTGTATATCTCATCCCATTGCACAGGGATTAAAAGGATTTAGTAGTCTTCACGGTTAACAGCAGATTTTTCTCAAAAACCTGGGGTTACAAGGCACAGTTTCATAAGTCTCACTCACTGAGCCAAGACATTGTGCTCTGGAGCGAGAAATTGGGGTTCAGGAGAATGAGTAGAGGTTGTGCCTGTGGGACTGAGAGGAGATGGCACTACCTTACACTGAGAAGTTCTCTTCTCACCTTTGGGGAGCAGAGTAGAGAGGGGACAGGTGGGCTTTGCTGCTTGGTGGATCAGGTCTGAGCAGAAAGAACCCCCTAACCCCACACTTGCAGCCTGCAGGACTGTTCTTCCTGAGAACAAGTCAGAGGAGTCAAAGGTCCAGAATTTCTTTAGGGGGAGTTAAAGTCTGAGTGGGAGGTGAATGGTATTATTGGGGGGTCTTATACAAGATTCCTTTGGGTCAGAGGCAGCACAGAATGATCCACTAAAGTTCCTGCCGCATGAGATAGAAGTCCCAGGTTTCCAGTTATGCAAGTTTCTCTGAGTCAGAAATTGCAGGTTGTAGGTCATGTTGGAACCACTATGGTAGAAATCACAGATAGAGAATGCTGGGTGATAGCTCCCTGTGATTTGGCTGAAAGTCAGGGTGTTCTAGATCCCTGACAGAAGGTTGAGGGATCAGAGGTAAAAGGTGAGAGGTCAGAACCCCTGCTTCTCACTTGCACATGTCTTGTGACAAAGTAGGAGTTGGAGGGGCCAGAGTGAGACAGGGCATCATAATGTGGTTGACATTATCCAGATCACCTTTTATATTATCTTCGAGACCCAGGGAAACCCCTCTAAACAGCAGGAGATCCTAGAGGCACTACGAGGGAGGGTCCCAGAGCTCTGAGCTCAGGCATCAGGGCCCCTACCATTCTTCCTGAGTGGGCAGCTGGTGACATGGATGCTCTTCTTGATTGCCACAGAAGACACCAGTGTCAAAGTCGGCCATTTTCAGTGACCTATGTTGAGACTCCCTCAGAGTGAAGAGCCAAGAGGGCCATGGCAAGGTGGCGGGTGGTGGGGATGAGGGTGGGAGAGGAGAATCCCTCTTGCCTGGATTTTTGTTGTTGTTTTTCAAGACTGGGTTTGTCTGTGTATTCTTGGCTGTCCTGGACTTGCCTTGTAGATCAGTCTGGCGTCGAGCTCACAGAGAGCTGCCTGCCTTCCTGAGTGCTGGGATTATAGCCATGAGGCACTGCACAGGGTTCTTGCCTGATTTTTTTTAAATTAATTTGTTTATTCAATTTACATCTCAGTCATAGGCTCCTCCCTCCTCTTCTCCCAGGCCCACCCTTCCTCTCACATCCCCTTTCTCTCTTCCTCAGAATTGGGGAGCCCCCTACCAACACACCCCAGCTCATCTAGTCACAAGAGGACTGAGTTCACCTTCTTCCCTGTGGCCTGGTAGGGAAGTTCCATCAGGGAGAAGTGATCAAAAAACAGGCAACATAGTTCTTGTCTGAGATATCTCCCCCTCCCCTCACTAGTGGCCCTACATGGAGCCTGAGCTGGCCATCAGCTACATATATGTAGAGGACCTAGGTCCAGTCCATGCTTGGCACTTGGTTGGTGCTTCAGACTCCATAGGCCCCTCCGGGCCCTGGTTAATTGGCTCTGTTGGTCTTCTTGTGGCGCTCTTGTCACCTCTAGGTCCATTTATCCTTCCCTCCTCTTTTCTAGTAGCCTCCCTATGCTTCACCCAATGTTTGGCTGTGAGTCTCAGTATCTGTTTCAAACTGTTGCTGGGTGGAGCCTCTCAGAGGACAGCTCTGATAGGTTTCTGTCTGCAAGCTGATTTTTTAATGTAGGAAATCAGAGTTATGTTACTGTGAGGACTATCTTCATTGTATTTTATGTGTTTTCTCACATTGTACCTTCATTTTTATTTAATTTAAGGAAGTACTTGATCACCTTTATTTCTTCAATGACACATTTATCATTCAGGAGTGTATTATTTAATCCCTATGAGTCTGTAGATTTGGTAATTTCTGTTGCTATCAGTTTTCAGTCTTACTGCATTGTGATTGGATAGAATACAAAACGTTTATTTGTTTATTTGTCTTTCAAGACTTGGTCTCACCATGTAGTTGTGCATGACTTGGGACTTGCTATGTAGATCAGGGTAGCCTGAAACTCACAAAGATCTACCTGCCTCTGCCTTCTGAGTGCTGGCATTAAAGGCGGACCCCACCACACCTTGAACCCACAATGTTGTTGAATTACAGATTTTCTCTGTTTATTTTTTATCTAGTTTATTTGCTGACTGGTGAGTCTGATATTAAAGTCACTGAATATTAGTGAATTTTAATTAAACTGTGATTTTTTTTATATGTAGTTATTCTGTGATGGCATTCTATTGGATGTGACAATAGACCTCAGGATGGTTACTGCCAATGTCCTGCTTGGTGACCAGTGGTTTTATTGGGGTTATTATAGAAGCATGAATGAAGAGTTACTTAAGGGGTCAGAAATGAGTCAGGCAGCTCTATCACCAAAGCCAACCAAGCACACATGAGTGACATCTTAGGATAGGCGGACACTGGAGAACTCTGCAGGCAGCTCAGCAGGGTGGACACTGTCCTTTGCAGGTAGTCAAGCTAGGCTGACCCTCTTCCAAGCAGGTTAGCTTTCTTCTGCTTTTTACAGGCCACTCTGCTGGTCTGAGCCTTTTCTAGGCAGGTAACTTTATCTCAAAATCTCTCTTCTTGTGACAGCAATTCATGATATAGGTCTGACTGTCCTAGAACTCACTCTGTAGACCCGGATGGCCTTAATCCAACAGCCTTTGCCTCTCAACAGTTAGGATTAAAGTCATGCACCACTATGTCTGACCATTTATAGCTCTTAATGTTAAAATATTAATTCCAGCCTTAGCAATCAACAATAAATCCCATCTTATAAGAACAGAAAGTGCTATTACAAGCAAATGAAACCAAAATTGGACAAAATAGACTTCAAACCAAAACTAGTCAAGAAAGATAAAGAATGCATTTCATCTCGTTATAGGAATAAGCCACCAAGAGGAGATAACACTACCAAACAAAGCAACAAACAGTGGTGCACCCAGTTTTTATGAAAGACGTATAACTGCAGCTAAAGTTTCAGAATAAACCCAACACTGTTATAATAAATGACGTCAGTAACCTACTCTCACCGGGTGACACATCATCTGAACAAAAACTAAACAAAGAAACATTGGAGTTAATTATGTCATAAATCAGTGTGCCAGAACAGTCCACCCAAATACTAAAGAGCACACAATCTTTGGAGCCTGTGGAACTGTCTCCGAACTCAGCCACATTAGGATACAAAGAGAGACTGTATAAATATAGGAAAATTGCATTCTCTTTAACCAAAGAGAGTAACAGTGATATCAGTAATAGAACTATGAAAAGTATGCAGAATCATAGAAATTAAAACAACGCACTAATGAATGATAATTTGATCAAGGAACAAATCAAGAAAGAAATTTTTTAAGCTTCTAAAATTGTATGGAAAAGAAAATGTAGTATGACCAAGTCTGTGGGACAAATTAAAGGCAGTTCTAAGGGAAGTTTATAGTATTGATTGTCAACATATTTTTAAAAAGTTGATGCTTCATAAATTGATAAGTTAATGATGTACTTGAAGTCCTTGGAAAAATAAGAAAAAAGTAAGAGGAAGAATGTCATCACAATATTTTTCCTGGATTCAGTCTTTCTTTTTCTCTCTTCTTTTTGATAAGTTATTTGAGACCAGTTATAACTTTGTAGCTCAGGCTGCCTCAACCTAATGATGCTCCTGCTTCAGTCTCATGATTATCAGGATTGCAGTTTGAACTGTCACACTTGGCTTAACCACCTCTAATCATAGAGTTATTTGTAGCAAGGCTTAAAACTTAACAGGTAGACTAAGAGTTTTTCTGTGCTCATCAACTTTTCATGTAACAAGACCTGTGAACTTAAGCTCACACATACATGTATCCAGCACATACAGTGAGAGGTATAATAGAAACATCAGAGAGTCAGAAAGGGCATGACTTGCAAGTGTGGGGTCTACAGATGTGTTGGTAGACTCCATCTCACAGCATCAGACAGTCCAAGGTCTTTCCCAGGCCCTTTATGCAATAATCTTCTTAAAATTTATCCAGACTGTGGTCTTGAACAGGGTCAGGTCACCTGACACATGTATCCATACCCAGTGTGTACATTTTTATTCCTGTTTCTGTACCAACCAATTCTGTATTCCCCGTAGTGAAAGAAATATACTTCTTTTCTAGCATCTCCAAGCGTGAAGCACTTAGCATTTGCTATGCCCTTATCTGCTAGCTTTAAAGCTTCCCAAGTGAAGGGATGGATGCTAGTACATTTTTATGGCCTTGTGCCTGTATCAAACCCTGAATCCTCAAAACATCTTCTGGGCATGCACTTCTGATTACTCTAAGGTTCCACCTGATAGAATAGTATCAATAATAAAGTGCCAAAGGTAACTATTCAAAGTTAAGCCATAGTGCAGGTTCAGAATATTTCGTGAAAAATGACAGCAGCCACTAAGTTAGATAACTTGCGGTGATTTGAACAGGAATGGACTTATGTGTGTGACTACTGGGCCCATAGGGAGTTGTAATATTAGAAGGTGTGGCCTTGTTGGGGGAAGCGAGGCAGACTTTGAGGTCTCATATATGTTCAGGCCACGCCCAGTTTTTCACACATCTTCTGATGCCTGTGATCAAAATGTAGAAGTCTGAGCTGGTGCAGCACCATGTCTGCCTGCGTGCTACCATGTTTCCCACCATGACAATAATGGACTGACCTCTGAATGATAAGAACCCCAATTACACGTTTCTCCTTTTTAGAGTTGTGGCACGGAGTCTCTTCACCTTAATGAAACTCTAATTCAGATGGTACTGAAGGGTACCAATTATTGTTCGGGGCTCTGAAAGGAAGGATTTGGCTACTGAACGGTGGAGCATGTGCAGAGTATCCCGTGTTTTGATGTACAGGGTTACATGTGGTAAGCCATGCTCACTGCATGTGTTATTTGATATCACGTATCTGATTCTAATCAGATGCCTTATTCAGAGGCAAAATGATAAAAAGATTCTCCTTATTTTGAGAACATAGCTTACCTTATGGTACATGCACCCTTTGTAGCTCATTAATGTCAGGCTATTTCCAATGTTACCAGATGTGTTCCAAACTGTATTTGAGTTAGATATAGGAGAGTAATAAAGTGTTACTTTATTAGACATATTGACAGTGTTTAAAAGCATGAAACCTGGTAGTGAATGTGGTTCAAGGTTACCTACACATGATTGTTTAAAGAAGAATATCCATGGGGTGCTAGTTGCATTTCTCATACCAGGTACAAATCCCAACTGAAGTCTCTGGCTGCTTAGCTTGTTCTGTGCTTGCCTCACTGTTGTCCCAGTGCCTAGAACTAATCAGATATCAACTACAGCTGCTTTCTTGATATCTCATGTTTAAAACTTTAAGCTTGCTTACACTCTTTTCATTTACTAAAGTACTTGATTGTGTTTAAACTCAAGTTCCTTTACATTTCTGGGCCCTGGACAGAATGAAGCTGCGTTCTTGACCGAAATAGCAAAATAATGGTCCCCATCTCAGTCTGACAGAGTCCTTTGCTTCCCCCTGAACCTTCCTGAGTGCACCTCTTCTGTAAGAATTTCTTTAATCATTTTTGTCTTTGTAGTATCTACCAGAATGATCCATTCAGATTTACTTCTTCTAGTGTGCTAAGATTTGGGGGGAGGGGAGAGAGGGATTAAAAAGCAGTTCTGCTTCTCTTTCACAGAAAAGTCTAAAATGCCCAGAGAACCTGGTCAGGTTTATTTACAGCAATGGCCTCACTTCTTTGTGTCTGTTTCTATCTTCAACTTTTCATATGGCTGTGATCAGCTACTCAGAAAAATAACTGAAGGCAGAAAAAGTGTGTTTCATCTGATGGTTGAAGGGTTTAGTAAATCATGACAGGACCTTTAAAGCAAATGTGTGAAACAGACGGTTAAATCACAACCACAACCCAGAACAGAGTACCGAGCAGCTGTCTGTTCCCTCGTTCCTTCTTCCTCTAAAATAATCCCGCATACAAGTCAGTGAGTGCTTCTACAGTGAGTGGGATTCACATGTTAATTCATGTGATCACTGTAGTTTCTCAAATTAATCTTTATCTACATAATCTCTTAGTGGTGTTTTTTAGAAGTGTCTGCCTGTTATGATTCTGTATTCTGTCAGTCTGTCAGTTACAAGTGACCATCCCCGTGTGCACTGTTTTAGGAGCCTGTGACCTTTGAGGATGTGGTTGTGAACTTTACCTCAGGAGAGTGGGCTTTGCTGGATTCCAGTCAAAAGAAGCTCTACAGAGATGTGATGAAGGAGACATTTTTTAACCTGATCTCCATAGGTAAAATGCACACTGTGCTTCCTTTACTTCTTCATTCAGAGAGCTGTTTCCTGCTTAGATGTAGAGTGCTTTGTGGTTTCAAATGCTGAAAGGAAACGTAGTAAATTTCATGTTCCCGGTTATGTCATAAGATTTAGAATTTAATAAGTGTTTATAATGTTTGACTGTATCATAATGATTTCTTTCGGTTTACTTCTAGAGAAAACACAAGAAGAAAATGTGGAAGAGGACTACCAAAATCTCAGGAGAAATCTGGGGTAATTTATACTCAAGAGAGGAATTTACATCAAATGTTTGGGAATGATAGGACAACTGAGAACCTAGCAAATTATCCAAATATATCTAAGTATAAATTAATTCTAACATAGATGTTTACAAAACTACATTGGATCCGATCATTCAGAATTTGAGTATCTCATCTTTATAATTTCCGAATGTCATTAAAATGTGATGTAATATTTCGCTATGTAAGAGATTTCCTTTTCCAGTGGTTTCTACATAAAAATATGCCTTCGTACTCAGAAGTCTTTGCTATATTTTGATGTTTTCTCAGCACTTTGTATGTCAGGGCTGTGTTGTCATTGTTGTTGTAATCTCGGGTTTTAGAATTCCTTTTTTTTAACGTGTGCTTTGTTTGCATATGTATGTCTGTGTGCCACATTCATCTAGGGCCCTTAGAAGCCACACAAGGGCTTCATCCCCATCTCCTGGCTTGATTACAGACAGTTGTGAGCCACTGTGTGGGTGCTGAGAGTCAAACATGGCTTCTCTGGGAAACTGTCCGTTCTCTTAACTGCTGAGTCACCTCACTAGCTTTAAATTTATTTTTTATCGCTGAAATAAAATGAAACTTTAGGAGGAAAGGGCGTAATTTTTGTTCTTGTTTGGACTTTCATATCACAGTCCCTCATCTTGGGAAGTCTGGGCAGGAATCTGGAGACTGGAATTGAAACAGAGATTGTAAGGAGACTGCTTACTGGCTTGCTCCTAAAGACTTACTCAGCTTCATTTCTTATAGAACTTATATAATTCAGGCCCATAAGCTCAGCAATGGCACCACCCACGGTGGGCTAGGTACCCTCAACAGCAATTATGAATTAAGAAAACAGACCTACAGACTTCTCTGCAGACCAATCTGATGGAACCGTTTTCTCAATTGAGGGTCCCCCTTCTTGTGTCAAGTTGACAAACAAAACAAAACAAAACAAAACAAAACAAAACAAAACAAAAAACCTGTGCAATTGACCCCATGATCTCATGTTAGCATCAAAATATAAATCACAGCAAAACTTTAGGAGTCTCACGGTCTTAAAGAAATATGTAGATTTTAAATATTCAGTGCCTCTTAAATCCAAAGGTTCTCTGCTGTGGGCCCCTGTAAGTCAAATATAAATTATGCACTTCTTATTTCAAAAGGGAAGAAGCAAGGCACAGTTGAAATATGATCAAAACATAGCCCAAATTCAACAATGTTAATCAGATTCTCTAGCTCAGTGCACTTCATCTGGGCTCCGTCATGATCTTCTCGTCTCTGAAGGGCTCGGGGAAAACAGACTTTCTTCCGGCTCTGCCGTACACAGCATGTATCCCTTGACTCGCAGGCTCGGGCTGCCTCCAGTCTACAGCCGCTGCTGCCCTTGGCAGTCACTCGTGGCACCGACATCTCTAGATAGGGTCCATACAGGGTACACCTTCCCCATTCACTTGCTGGCCTCTCTTCAGGAGCTCCAACCTGGCACTTCCTGCAACAGCTCATCTGTTCTCAACAAACCTGTCAGTACTGGCGTTTCCACTGCAACTGCAGTGACCTCTCCTGGCCTTTCGTGATACTTTGTCTCAGCTTCTCCATGACCCCTTTGTTTCTGCAGCTGTCTGACTGCTATAATTAACACCACCTGACAGAATCTTGCATCTTGCTCATTGCAATGTTTTGCTGCCAGTCTGATGTGAAGCCTTTGCCCCCTGTGGTCTTTGTGCTGACTGAAATCTCTCTCTGAAGATTACACCTCAATGATACTGTTGTTTGTCATAGCCAAAGGACCAGAAAGTATAGATCCTTAATGCACACTATCTCATGAAGCACTCAGAAAGTTTTGAGGTACTCTTAAGCATCCTTTTGGGTACTATAGCATGAGAACGCAGCTACTCATATATCCTTAACTGCAGAGTGGTGCTCCTCTCTTCAGGGTAGGTCATCTTCTTTGACAAACAAAGCACATAGCTTCAGGAGAAATACCCTGTGAAGTATGAGGGAAGAAGGGGACACTCCCTAGCCAGCCACATCAGCCATACCAATCGTGGTGACCAAGAAGGTGACCTAAGTTGTAGCCCATCACCCTTTCACACCCAGACATTTCTTACACCTGACAAGGCAGGTTTCCATTTCCACTTGCTCTTAGCATTCTTCCATTCCAGGCTGCCAAAACAGACCATTAAATATTGAGCACCCACTGTCTTTTGCAGTTGAAAGTTCTAAACACTTTCATAGTCCTTCCAAAAGCAACATAGTCAGGTCTGTTGCAGCAATACCCGTGGACCTGGTACCAATGTCTGTTTTAGGTTGCTTTCTAAATACCACAACCAAAAGCAACTTGGGAAGGAAAGAGTCTATTTTGGCTCACACTATGTCACAGTGTGTCATCAAGTGAAGCAAGGTCAGGAGCTTAAGCTGGACAGGTATCAGGAAGCATAACTCAAGCGGAAAGCATGGAGGAGCACCACTTTCTGACTTGCCCTGCTACTTTTTTTATAGTACCCAGGCCCCAGAGGACGCACCCATTGCAGTAAGGTAGGCCCTCCCACATAGCTTAGTAATCAAGGAAGCGCCCCTGCAGAGTTACCTGCCGGGCAGTCTGAGAAGGCCATTTTCTTAATTGAAGTTCCCGCTTCTCAGATGGCCTTATCTTATGTCATGCTGATCCAGGCCTAAGCAGCACATTTGAATATATTTCAAATTCTTAAATGGAGTAGTTTTTGCTAATGTTACATAATGTCTTATATGCTAACACCAGGACCTTGGCTGAATATTTTCTCCAAAATGTTATGTTCATAAATTAGTTTATGTGTATGCGTGGGTTCATGTGTGAGAAGGGTTTGTGGAGCTAGAAGATGGCTATAGATCCCTTGAAGCTAGAGTTACACGCCCTGTAAACCGACCCATAGGGGAGCGGAACGTTGGTCCTCCAGAACAGGGAGAGCTGCTCTTAACTGCTGAGTTATCATTTCTGATTCTTCATAATTCTGATGGGAGTAAACCCTGAAGTCTATGTATTTACTCATGACACGATCTTTACCTGTGACCCAGATTGTCCTTAAGTGTGGAGGCTTTCTGCTGTTGCCTTTGGAGTCCTCTAACTGTAGTAGAACACTGGAGTCAGTAACCAACACTTCTTTGCCTAGTCAAAAATATGACAGCACCAATACCTTCTCATGTACCATAGGATCATTTATTGGAAATACATTCTTACATACCAAAGAGTTTACACTTGAGAGAAATCTTACTAATGTAAACATTGTGAAAAAGCCTTCACCATTTCCACTGCCCATAATGCTTTTCTCATTTTTTTTTTCAGAACTCAAGTGGTTGAGGAAGACGATGAATATGTATGTGATAGTCAGAGTGAAAAACCCCAGCCACAGACCCCAGAGCGTATTGGTAATGAGGATGTGCCCCCTGCAGTACCATTATGTGAGAGTAGTCTGTGTGTCAGGAACATTGGAAATTCACCCTCAGATGTGCACCTCAGTGATCAAACTAAAGAGAAACCATTTGAGTGTAAGGAGCCTGTGGAGGCTTTTAAACATGAGAAATGTTGGGAAGAGATGAGTCATTCTAAGTCATTTCAGTTGCCTGAAAGTTCTAGAGAGAAATCATGTGAAAATCAGCCATGTAATGCAGCTCATGAGAGTCTTCACTGTGATCAGCATCATGAGGGAACTCACACTGGAAACAAACACAGCGAGAACACCTTTATGGATGACCAGACAGATGAAAGAAGCCATACTGAAGTAAAACCATTTGTATGTAAGCAGTGTGGAGAAGCCTTTGTTAATTCCAGTCACCTTATCAGCCATGAACGAATTCATATTGTAGAAAAGTGTTATATTTGCAAACAATGTGGAAAAACATTCAGATATTTGTCATGCTTTCAAAAACACGAAAGAATTCACAGTGGAGAGAGGCCTTATGTGTGTGAGCTTTGTGGGAAAGGATTTATTCAGTTGAAATACCTTCTCATGCACCAAAGAATTCACACTGGAGAGAAATCTTACCAATGTAAACATTGTGAAAAAGTCTTCACTATTTCCAGTGCCCACAATGTTCATGAAAAAATTCACAGTGGGGAGAAGCCATATTCATGCTTGCACTGTGGAAAAGCTTTCACCAGTCCCAATGACTATAGGAGTCGCGAAAGAATTCACCCTGGAGAGAATCCCTTCGTATGTAAAAAATGTGGGAAAGCATTCAAACGTTTGGGTCATTTTATGAATCATGAAAGAATTCATACTGGGGAGAAGCCTTATGCATGTAAACATTGTGGGAAAGCCTTCACCAGTTCCAGTGACCGTAACAGTCATGAAAGAATACACACTGGAGAGAAACCTTTTGTATGTAAAACATGTGGGAAAGCCTTCAGTCGCTCCGATTATCTTATCAACCATAGAAGGATCCACACTGGGGAGAAGCCTTATACGTGTAAGTATTGTGGAAAAGCCTTCGCCACTTCCAGCGACAGAAATAGTCACGAAAGGATTCACACTGGTGAGAGATCCTTTCTCTGTAAAAAATGTGGGAAAGTATTCATTCTTTCTGGTGATCTGATCAAGCATGAGAGAATTCACACGGGAGAGAAGCCCTATGCCTGCAAACATTGTGGAAAGGCTTTCACCACCTCAAGTGCCCGGAACAGTCATGAAAGGATTCACACTGGAGAGAAGCCTTATACGTGTAAGCACTGTACTAAGACCTTTACCACATCCAGTACCCGCAACAGTCACGAGAAAACGCACACTGCAGAGAAGCATTTTGCATGTAACCTTTGTGGAAAAATCTTCAACAGCCAGAGTTCTTATTACACTCATCGAAAAATTCACTCTATGAAAGAGAAACTTTATGTGTGTAAACACTGTGGGAAAGAATTTACTTACTGTGGTAATTTCCTCAAGCACGAAAGAATTCACACCATAGAAACCTTGTCTGTGTGAGCAGTAGGTGAAAGCATTTTTGTGTCCTACATCATTAGAGACCCGTATTAAGTCTCATAGTGAAAGACTTGGAAAGCTGTCACCGTGTGGCACTGTGTGGTCAACCTGCCTTTATTGTGAGGTAGCACCAAGGGTTTGGATGGGCCGTGAGATAGCTCAGCTAGTAACAGTTCTTTTGGATGGCTTGATCTCAGTTGTAACCCTGGAACTCACATGGTGGAGATAGCGAATCAATTCCCAAAAGTTGCCTTCTGAGTTCCACGTACGCAACACTGAATGTATGTGTGTATGCACACAAAGTAAATAGATGTCACCATAAAACAAGAGAAAAATGAAAATTTTGAAGTGGAAATAAACATGATCAGCAAAAGTATAATTTTAGCCCCAATATATGAGCATGTTTTTGTGTTTCTTCTGCTGTGTTTTAAAGGTCTCTTTCTTCTCATAGAAGCCATTCAATGTGGTGACTCATTTATAATCCCAGTATGTTGGAAGCTGAGGCAAAATGACTGCCTCAAGTTGAGTTGATCCTTGGCTAGAGTGAGACCATGTCTTTCAAAAAGAAGCAAGCCAGTAGTGGTAGCTTACTGCTCAAGCTAAGACATCATGTACTGTTCTGAACTGTATGGAGATTGATTACCTTTGTCTGTTCTTATCTTAATGGGAATACTTCGAGTTGTTTTTTTTTTTTTCACTTAACATGAAATCATCTATAATTTTTTATATAGATGATTTATCAAATTGTTTCTATCCTTTATCTTTCAAAGGTTTTTGTCATGAAGGGAAATTGAACTTTCTTTAAGTTTTTTAATGCAGTTATTGCCTCGATTGTGTAGTCTCTGTTCCCGAAACTATTTAATAAATTTATTTTATTCATTAATGTACATAGAACCATCTCTGCATGCCTAGAATAAAGCTAACTTGAACAAGGTGAAGGACTGTTATGAGTTCTGTTTGGAAGTAAGTTTTTTGGGGGGTTGGACCTTGACATGTGTGCTTATCAAAGAGGTTACATAATAACTTTCTTTTAGACTGAGTTTTTGTTAGGTTATGGAATCAGGATAATATTAGCTTCATGGGAAAAAAAGTATTTGGAATCCTGTGTTTTTTGAGTTCCAGAATAACTTAAGGAGTTTTGGTGTTAGTTTTCATTTGTATGTCTGCTAGAAATCTGAAATTATTATACTTTATATTGCCTTAGCCATGGTAGATCCTTTAAGCCAACAAATTTGTGTATTTTTGTCATTTTTCTTGTTTAGTAGAATGTACTCTCTTGAAACTTGTCACAATTTCTTTTGTCTATTGCAGTGCTTCAGTTTTTCTAATTTTGTTACTTTATGTTTGCCTTCTTCATTAATTTGGCTTAGAGTTTGCCCATCTTTATCTTTCAAATAACCAAGTCCATTTCTCTGATTAAATTTTTTAATTTTCTTGTTTTGTTTCTTTCTGCCTGTTCTTCTAATTCTTCCCATTTAGTGATTGGGAGTTTGAGTTCTTAATTGTCCTATGCCTTAACATGTACCTTTAGGTTGTTTATTTGGTATCTGTCTGATTTTTTTTAATTTATATTATTATTTACTTATGTATATGTATGTGTTTTGTGAATATAAGTATGTGTGTGTGTGTGAGTGGCTAAGAGGGACATAAGAGGACATTTGAGCCATTTGAGCCGGAATTATATGCAGTTGTAATGGGTACTTCACATGGGTACTTGGTTTCAAATTCAGATTCCCTAGAAGAGCACCAAATTCTTAACCATTGAGCCCTTTCCTGCCACTGTTTGGATTTTTAATGTTGTCACTTAGGGCTATAAATTTCCCTGTTAAATCTGCCTTCATTGCAATGCATAGATTTCCATACATTTTATGCTAATTTTCTTTTACTTACATAATTTACAGACTTATTGTGTAATGTGTTCATCAAATAGCAGTTTGTCATTTGGCACACTCTGGCAGAGCTGAGCCCAACGCCCCGTTCATTGTCACTTTGTCTCTCACTCTTGGGTTCTGGTCTCTACATGTTGCATTATTGGTGACTTTCAGCATTATTGTTCATTTTATGTTTTTCCCAAGAAAAGTACGTCTGAGTCTTTTTAGGAAAGCTATCCCTTCTGCTTTGGGGGAAATGGTGTTATCTGGCCCTATTTGAAAGTCTTCTTTGTGCCCTGGAAATCATGATAAGCTCAGATAAGCACAAAGCTAGGAATTTCTGAATGAGTCTAGGACTTCAAAAATCTTCTTGCAGTATCTACCCCTAAGCCAACTCAAACAGTGTAATTGTAACATAGAAAACTTAGAGTTGACAAACTCTTCATAGCCAGGAGAATTGATAACAGATTTGTGGCCTCTTTCTCCTGTATGTTAGAGCTCTCTGAAAATGTCAAAAACAAGGGATCATCCAGAGTACACCCCTGGAGGAACGGAACTCAGTAAATAAGATAAATTTACTGAAAGAACTTTTCCTCCTTAATAAATGAAGAAATGATATAGCAAAAGGAGTTAGGAGTATTTGCTGTTCATAAAAAAGACTGCGTCAGATATTTTCTGTTTGTTAGGAGTGCTTTAAAACTGCGAATACTGCCAGCTTAAAAGCAGGCTGTCATAGAATAAATGTGTTTGTGTTGGCTGAGAGATTCTTCAGATTCTTTTAATTGGAGTTATAGGGCTGATAATAAAAACAAAACTTGTTCTATTTGTACTTTCTTATTGTGACTGAACTTGTAATCCCAGACATTAATGAAAAATTAAGCATATATCTGGAGACAAAATGGTACAATCTGTACTTCTTGGATAATCGTCAGTCTGTTATTGTTCTGTATAAATAGAGGCAACCTGATTGCTGGTCAGTTAGAGGTGTAAGATTCCCTTCATCACTCCTCCCTCACCAACTACTTATCTCTTCTCCAGCCACCTTGTCACACTGGCTGGCCCATGGCAATACCACCCTTGCTGTCATGTTTGAATCCTATGCACACGCACCAGGCAAGTGGCACCTGGGCTGGAGTGACTGATTTTTCCTGCTGACAACAGGACCTTTAGGGAAGACACCTAGAGATGTCTCTGACTCATCAACAGTGAGTGACCATTCTGTGGTTTCTGTAAGCAGCTAGTGTGATTGTGAGTCCTGGGAATGTTTGCACTTTTGAATGTAGGCTTTCATCTGAATTTTGAGCATAGAAATCGCTCTTTTAAAAAAAAAATTAAGGGTTTCTTTTCATTCTTCTTGAATGCTTTGTATAGTATTACTTCAATGTAACTACACACACACACACACACCCTCATGAGTAATTGTATCCTTGTTGGTGTGTTTTAGTTTTCTTGCCTGTGTAAAAAGAATCCAGACTGAAGCCATTTTGAATGTAACTTCCATTTTGAATAGTGTTCAAATAAAGTATAAGTTCTCAAGCCTCCCCAGGTAACTGACATCCTGGTTGGAAAGTTGAGACATGAATGCTAGGCAAGCCGCCTCGCCACAGTTTAATAACCAATGGGAACAGGATAAGTGTACCACGAAGCCATCTTCTGGAGATCCCTAAATCCTAATTGGGGGGATACTTGCTGCAGATGTTTGTGGATTTCAGGCTTAAAGACTGTAGAATTCTGGCTCAGGTTACAGTTCATCTCCTGAGTCTGATCTGTGGTCCTGATTGATAATGGAGGTCAAAGGTCAATATATTTCTGTCATCTGCTTAAATACTTACTATGACGAGCATTCAAGGATGCAGTTAGCTTCTGAGTCTGTCCTTTTGTCCCCGACGAGTTGGTTTTTGCTTCCTAATTCAAATAGAGATCTTGCTTTGCTGGACCCCTGTGACTGCTTCAGTTGTTTTAGATTTTTAGACCCTAACACGATAAATTGCAACGCAAGTTATGAGATGGTCTTGAGGACCTGCCTGTCAACACAAAAATACAACTCACTTCAAAGGGGCTGTCTTTACTCTGAGGCTAAATGCAATTGACCATGGCCTAGAAATACAGAATTTAGATTATCACAATTTTTATGTTCCAACATAAAAGCAGTTTTATGAAGTTTTTATAATAACAATAAAATCATAAATCAAGACACTTTACAAAATGCATTGGTGAAAACATTAGGTGACCAGGTTATAGTGCAAAGGGAAAAAGCTCTGACGTGGGCTTCAGACGCCGTCAGCTCACTATCTTGTCTATCTGGCTGGTTAGAAAATTAGTGCTCTGTACATGATGGTCACAGTAGTCGTGAAGGTGTTAGGTCAGGTACAGAAGACAGCCACAGATGGCTCTTCACAGGGCTAAAAGGGGCCAAGGTAATGGGCTTGTTAGACTCCACACTGTCCAATTCCTGATCAGTTCATCAGCCTTCCAGAAGGTTCAGCTTTAGTTCGCATGCATCATTGCTGAGCTTGCATGCCAGGTCCTTCTTCCTGACCCTGTGTCCACACTGACGGAGGGACGTCTCCTACCCTGTAGTCATGTAGTTTGTTCATAAGGTCCTGACTCTCATTACCACCACCAACCCCCCATCAAACTTATGGCACTATTTGTAAGTGGAAAATCCCACTGTGGCCCATTAAATACACCACCAGGAAAAGCTGCTCTAAAAACCCTGACCATACTTTTCTCAAATGTAAGGTTACCCCAGTTAGATCAGGTTTATTTCAGGAGGAAAACAGAGGCCAGAACAGGTTACTGTGGAGAATCTGTCATTATGGCTGTAACCCAGCAGAGGAAGGAAGTTTTTGGTTATAAGATGCACTTTCCCCTCCCCCTGCAACCATCAGGGTTCAACCTAGGTTTTCTGGCTTGGTGGCAATTGCCTTCAGTAAGTGAACCATCCTGCCAGCCCCAAGGCTATAAAGTTTTCAGATCATTTTAATTTGCAATTACAAGATGGACTGCAATATGAGAGCATGAGCCTGGACTTTAAAAGCTAGAGGCCTGTTAATAAGATGTGGACATTTTCTAGTTTTCTGAACACATGTGGCTAGGAGGTTTGGTGTTCCAGGCAGCACACTGAGGAGCCATGATTCCCCTCCTCTAACCTAAACTTATGTTTTTTACATTTTGAATTTTGTTGATTGTATCATTTATCATAAACTGTTGAGAGTAAGCAAAGTTTTTCCAAGTTCTGTGAGTCACACTAGCTTAGTAGCAAATGGTAAATACAGAGTGATTAGATTAACTTCACATTGTTTATGTACCATATATAGCATTTGTTGTTATTTGATAAGGATTTTTAAAAATCCATGCTCATGAGAAATATGTACATATATATTTCCTTTATTGTTTCTTAATTTCTTGAATGCAGATTTTCTTATTTATATTGCCCGTCCCTATGTCAGCACTTGTATAATTTTTTTTTCTTGAAATTAGTGTCTTTCAGGTAAGTTATATTCACCTCATGCAATTCTTGCAATTAGAACATTCTCTATTGGTCTTTAAAATGTCTGTGGGTTTCTTTCTTTCTTTCCTTCTTCCCTTCCTTCCTTCCTTCCTTCCCTCCCTTCCTCCCTCCCTCTCTCCCTTCCTCCCTCTTTCCTTCCTTCCTTCTTCCTTCCTTTCCTTTTTTAAAACCTATTTTAGGAGTTTGTATGCTTTCTTTCCATTTAGTTAGTTTGGTCTCTATAATCCACCTGTTTTATGATCTTTTCAACCAACAAGCTCTTCCTTATATTTTTGTATATATCTTCTGAGATTATGACTTTTTTGTATTTGATTTAGAATTATCTTTGGCTTTGTGATTTCAAAACTTAGACTGTTGAGATCATTTTTTGTTTGGATTGGAATTTTACTTTAAAAGATTAAATAAAATTACTCAGGTATGGAGGCACATGCCTCTAATTCCAACACTCAGCATTTTAGGAAGAAGAATCCCAACAAATTTGAGGTCAATTTTGTCTCCATTGCGAATTCTAGGCCAGCTAGAACAAAAATAAATAAATAAATAAATAAAGAAAGAAAGAAAGAAAGAAAGAAAGAAAGAAAGAAAGAAAGAAAGAA